ATCTGAGAATCTTAGCTACTGATTTTCAAGAAAAATTTTCTGATTTAAAAGAAATTAATTTTCCACTATGGGTGACGCAGCCAGTGCTAGTGAATCTCTGTGATGTTTCAGTGCAGTAACAAAAAAGAACTTCCGGAATTACAGAATGATGAGTCTGTCAAAGCTTTATTCAATATGAAAAGAGTGACAGCATTGCTTTGTGATGAGACGGAGGTTAAATATCCAAACTCAACTGGCTTTGCAAGAAAATTATTATTACCATTTCCATCGTCATATTTAGTAGAATGTGGCTTTAGAACTGTAAATGATTTGCTACTAAAAAAAAAAAAGAAATTCACTAGAACGAGTGAATTTAAGACTGAAGCTAACTAAATTTGTACCAAATATAAAATCTCGTTGCAGCAGACATCAAGCACAAAGTTCTCACTAATTTTTTTGAAGTGCATCCTATTTTTTTATTTAGGTAGACTGCATATGAAACCTTCAATTTCTTGTAGTTTAATAAAATGAAATAAAATTTTCTGCTTTTTTTTATCTGTGAATTTTATTTTGTCTGCTTTATCAATATTGAAAACCTACTTAAGTTTTCAAATCTTTTTCTTATCAGATACATTAACAGAACCTGTAGGATAGCATAGCTCGTCGTGGCAAGTTCAGAATATAAGTGCAGTATCAATGGGTTTAATTCCAGGAAGCTCCATCTGTTATATAATTTCACTACATGGAGGGGGCATCAGATATTTAAAAGCAATTTGGTGGGACTTAATCCAGAAAAGGTTGAGAAACACTGACCTAGACCTTCACAATAGCCGATGTTGAGACGCCAATCCTCGGAGCGGATTTCTTAGTGTATTTCAACTTGTCTGTCGAGCTACCTTCAAGCACACTTACCGACACACGCACTAACCTACAACGCCGCGGGGCATTGTCTAGGCATTCGACGATCGGTCTGAACGCGCTGATATCGGGGGCGAACGGTTACGAGAGTCTACGCCAGTTACGAAGGTTCCTAAGGAAAGTACATTATTATGGCCAGTTCATACACAACTGCGCTGACATACTCTTGCCATTGACAAATCTCCTGTCCAAATATAAGAGAAAGAATCCAAAGATCACGTTGTCCACTTACGAATTAAATTCTTTCGACAAAAAGCCAAACAGGCGTTACAAAACTGCACTAAGGTCTGATATCATATATAGCACCTTCACCCGACGCAAAATTAACCTTCAACACTGACGCATCGTCTAATACGGTCGGGTGCGGTATTTTCTAAAAAACAAACATTTCTGAGATAATTTAATTCATTTTTGAATAAGTTCTGAAAGTTTCATTAAAATCGGACAATTATTTGATTTTTGGAAGAATGTCCAAATTAATGTCTTTTTCAACTGAAAAAAGTGCTAAAAACTAATACTAAATATTACGCGACCGCTGACGTAAAAAAGAGAAAAGATTTTTAAGCAAAATTTTCAACGTGCTAGAAAGGATTAAAAAAAAAAAATAATTAAAAAATACTTTGGTCTTTCCTCTTAATAATAACACATATTTTAACGATAAAACTTTAGGCCTTTTTTTCATCATGCTGTGCTATTTTCTTCGGCGAATTATTGAATATACCTACTTTAAAATAGTGAACATTTAAATTTTCTATTACTACAAATTTCATCACGAAATAAACGACATATGCTAATTATTGTTTGATTTTTATATTGATGTGCTTTATTTTGATTATTCTTATTTTAAACATATTAAAAGTATGATAGCATAATTATTCTTTTTGATAAGTCCCATAAAGAATGTAAACTTATATATGATGTACAGTGTATGTGTGTGTTTGTGTGTGTGTGTGTGTGTGTGTGTGTGTGTGTGTGTGTGTGTGTGTCCAAGCAACTCTTCTGCTCCCACTGGTCTGATTTCAATGATTCATAGCTCATTCAAAAGCCCTAGAAAAGTTAGGCGCTAGGAAGGGTTTTCGTTGAGCTCAGATTCAGGGTTGCCAGATTATGTGAGGTTAAAAATATATTAATATATTATACTAGCCATTATCATTGCTTTCATGGTTTAAAGGAAGTAACTCTTATTTTTCTTTTCTACCGAAAAATTGTAGCTAGCTTAAAATTTTAAGCTAGCTAAAATTTTAAGTTCCCCAAGGCCGGCACCTCTCAGTATAATTTTCCTCAGTTGCGATTCTGTCCTTCGACAGAGCCACCCCTGAGTGCACTCTGCCCAAAGACAGAGACACAACTGAGAGATGATAAATAATGTGTTACAAACTACTCGAGAGAGCAATTTATACACTAGGTATTTAACTCTGTCTTCCCACTAAGACGAGTTGGGACACAAAGTCAGTTTTTAAGGTGGGGACCTGTGCGCGTATACTCGGGCTAGGAACAAAAATTGCACGCAGCCACCGCAACCGTCGGTTGCGCTGGGCTCGGTGTGAGCAACGATCTCTCTCTGTGGTGCAACGAGAGGGCGCGGCCTCGGGCAGCTGTTCCCCAGGGCTGGGCACCTCTTAGTATAATTTTTCTCAGTTTCGACTCTGTCCTTTGACGGAATCGCCCATGAGTGCACTCTGCCCAAAGACAGAGACGTAATTGAGAAATGATAAATAATGTGTTACAAACCACTCAAGAGAGAGGTCTTATTTGTCGTAAGTATTTTTTATCCAGTTTCATACATATTTGCAAAAAACTTCAACTAATTAGTCAAAAAACACAAGTGGGCGTTGCAATCCACGCACACGCAAGTCTTTTTCCAGCGCATGACCAAGTCAAAATTTCGTGCTTCTTTCTCCGGAGCCTATCACGTGACAACGTTAATTATAAATACAGGTAAGACGAAAAACCTTCCTTGTTTTAACGTGTCTTTTGGCTATAGCCGCCATACGTTCAACGCACTAGCCGACTCAAGCGCCACCATTAACGTCCTGTCTGAGGCAGATTTCAAACGTTTGAGACCAGCACCCCACCTCCGACCCACAAAAACGATAATATCTGGGTTTGGTGTAAAGGAAACCACACCAGCCCTAGGCTGGTTCAACATACGCCTAGAATTCATGGGCACCGTTTGCCAGGCCGACATACATGTGATAAAGAGCCCAGAAAAGCCCATCATCGGCTGGGAGACATGCAAAAGGCTAGGACTGCTATCCGCACACAAACTCTCCATCAACCATATCAGTGACTCTGACACACAAATCCCTCCCTCCACCCTTAAACTTCTGGACGACCATGCAGACCTCTTCATTGGCCTAGGTAAACTCAAAGGGAAAAAGGTTCACCTACACATAGATGAAACCATACCACCAGATCCCAGAGATACCACAGGAAAGACGTGGCGGAACAAATATATAAAGATGAGAAACTAGGAGTTATTGAAAAAGCAGAAGGGCCAACCCCATGGGTATCTCCCATCGTGGTCGTACCGAAGAGGGACCAAAACAAAATCAGAGTGTGCATTGATATGAGAACAGCGAACAAGGCCATTAAAAGGAAACGGCACCCAACCCCTACACTAGATGAACTGAAAACCATTCTATCAGGAGCTAATATCTTCAGCAAATTAGACCTCAATCAAGGTTACAACCAATTGGAACTAGCTGAAGAGTCCCGCTACATAACAACCTTTGCGACACACCTCGGCCTATACAGATACAAAAGGCTATTCTTCGGTGTCAACTCCGCCAGTGAGATATTCCAGGAAGAAATTAGTCAAGCACTTGCAGGGATTAATGGAGCTATCAACATCAGTGATGACATCCTCTGTTTTGGATCAGACCAGCAGGACCACGACCAAAACCTTCGCGCAATATTCCAGAAACTTCGCGAAAAAGGTCTCACCCTCAATGGCAGCAACAAAAGGTCACTGGAATTCCTCGGACATACTTTTGGCAACAAAGGCATTAGCCCAAGCAACCTCAAAATAAAAACTATCCTTGGGCTACCCAACCCTAAAAATGCATCAGAAGTCAGAAGCTTGTTGGGGTGCACAAGCTTCTGTGGTGCACAATTCATTCCAAACTACGCGACCCTGACTCACGACCTACGTCAACTAACAAAAAAAAAAAAACACTCAGTGGTCCTGGACTGAATGCCACAGTGAATGCTTAAAAAAAATCAAGGACGCCCTGAGCAAAGCATGCTCACTCGCCTACTTTGACCCGAACAAACACACTGAGATATACACCGTTGCTAGCCCCGTAGGCATCTCTGCCGTGCTGTCACAAAGTGGACAGGTAGTACAATTTGGAAGCCGAGCATTATCCGCAGTTGAACAAAGATACTCCCAAACAGAACGTGAAGCCCTCGCTATCACATGGGCATGTGAACATTTCCACATATACATTTTCGGAGCACCATTCACTGTGCATACAGATCATATACCCTTGACATCAATTTTTAACAACACCCGCTCCCAACTATCGGCACGCATTGAACGCTGGGTCTTGAGAACACAACCGTACAACATGACCGTCATATACCGACCAGGTCATGACAACCCAGCTGACTACCTCAGCCGTCACCCTATACACCTGCCACCGAGCGACAGAGAACAAAAAGTAGCAGAAGAATATATAAACTACATCCTCTCAACATCAACCCCCAAAGCAATGACGATTGAAGAAGTCGCAATGGAAACCGCAAAGGACAAGACACTCACAGCCGTCATACAAGCCCTCCTCACCAAGAAGTGGTACGGTATTGACGATGACGTAGATAAAGCAACATTCCAAACTCTGCATGCCAACCGTGCCGAACTCTCACTAGCACACAACGACAGCATCATTCTCAAAGGACGCCGGATAGTACTGCCCAAGACACTACAAAGCAGAGCCGCCCAAATCGCACATACCGGACATCAAGGCATCGTGAAATCCACGGCCCGCCTCCGAGAAAAGGACTGGTTCAAAAACATGTAGGCCCTAGTAGAAGAAAACATCAGGAACTGTCACACCTGCTAGATCAGCACCCACAAACCTGCAAGAGAACCACTGCAAATGTCCCCACTACCAGCGGCTCCATGGACAGAAGTCAGCGCTGACTTCGGACACCTCCAAAATGGGAAATACCTACTTGTCGTCACAGACGAGTACTCACGTTACGTTGTTGTTGACATCCTAGACTCCATCTCAACGACATCAGTGATACCCCGCCTGGACAAAATATTTGCGGAGTTTGGGGTACCAGTATCCCTCAAAACGGACAATGGCCCACCATTCAACAGCAGCGATTTCAAAGACTACGCCTCCATCACCGGATTCAAACACAGGAAGATAACACCCCTGTGGCCCCAGGCCAATGCTGAAACAGGACGCTTTATGCGCACTGTAAAAAAGTCCATCAAGGCTGCCCTAATTAAAGGCCGAAGCTGGAAGCAGGAATTATTCAAATTCCTACTGGACTATCGAACAACGCCACACTGCACCACAGGTGTACCCCCGGCCTCAGTCCTATTTGTCTGGACCATAAAAAACCGCCTGCCACACTCGATCACACCCATAGCTGGAGACCCCAGCATCAGGGAGCGTGACACACAAGCCAAGACAACTATGAAACGACACGCTGACAGGAAAACCTACGTGAAACCCAATGATCTCAGAGTGGGTGACACAGTCATTATAAAAAACGACCACACCTCAAAGGCTCTCACACCCTACCAACCTAACCTAATGACTGTGACAAAGAAAAAGGGATCCATGATAACTGCCACACATGAGGGTAACCAAACTACAAGAAATGCCACCTTTTTCAAGAAAATCCCAAGACCACCAACAAGCCCCACACACAACCCACTTGATTACTCCTCATCTGAAGATGAAAACTACACACACACTACAACACCAGCAAAATTTAAAGACACCCAGGCACAACATACCCCCAACCTCAGGCGCACAGGTCGAGCAAGACGGCCACCCAAAAGACTCGATTGCTAAACCCCTCTCAAAAAAAAAAAAGAAAAAGAGAAAGCATTGTAATATCCCAGCATCAGAAGGGAGATAACCCCTAGACACAAGAGTTAGGTCCCCTCCGGACATCCGGTTAATTTTAATCAGCAGCTTAGCAGCAAGAGGGAATAGGAGGCTACCATCACCGGAGGGACAATCAAGAACCATCTTAAAATCCTAGCAAGGCATTAATCGACGCCTAGCAAGCATCGATAGCCTCTTGCGCAGAATATTACAGGTACGTAGGCGTACGATGTGGACTCTGCTTTTGTTAGGTTGGAAAGGTAAGGATAATGGACGAGTCTACACTATGTCATAGTGGTAATGTCACTTTTTAGTCAGTTGTAATTTAAGTATCTTCGCGCGGCAATAGATGTGTGGGTTGTGTTGAGTTGCTGAGAAAGCGAGTGGTGGAGGCTGCGTCAGTATGTCGGCGCGTATGGTAATTGTTGAATCAGTGTGTTGTCGCGCGTGGAGTTTGTTGGCATCTCTCGCAACTTAGCTACTGTCTGCTTGAATCAAGTCGAGCGGTTCTATTTATTGACATTTTGAATTTCAAACCGGCCCCAGATAGGTGAGCGGGAAAACAGATTTGTTGCAACTTGCTACATTTTTGGGTCCTTTTAACCAATGAGAAGTCAAGTTTGAAAAAGTGAAGTGATGATTGGTTAAAGTTGGTTTGGGAGAAAAGGGCATTTTCCTTCAGTGTCTATTTCATTTAAATTGTGTTTGTACGTTGGCGTGTGCGCTTGTATATTCAAATTCAATGACTGATAAAAAAAAAAAAAAAAAATAAAAGAAAAAAGGATATAATAAAAAATCTGTAAAAATAATTGCATTACTGAATAATTTCCGAAAAGTTCAATAAAATCTTTTATAATTATCTGACTTTTTCAGGGTTTAAAAAATTAACGGGGTTTTCATGAGAAATAAGTTGTCCCATTTCTTTTCATTCCACTTGTGCTACTTTTTATACATGAATTCAATTTTTGTGACCATTAATTATTTAAAAAAAAATTTCTTAATTATTTCACCATAATAAAGTAGGTACCTCCAAAGATTTTTAGAAAATCTTGGTAAAAATATTTTTTTATATTTGTTGCCTCACCCCTTATTTAATTTTAAATTTCCAGAAATTCATTTTAGTAGCGCTAATGTTTAACTAATATAAATATTTTTAGCGCGACTAAAAGCCTTTGGTGAAATCATCAATTTAAAAAAATTTTTTTTTTTTTTGTCAAACAGAGCTCTAGTTACAGAAAATTATCTCTGAATCGTAAAATAAAAATGCAATAGAAATAAGACATTATTTAATTAGTTTTTAATTGCTTTTATGAATAAGGTATATTATGGACATATATTATTCAATTAAGAAAAGCATTTTTCCATGAATAATGAATTTTTCCAAGAATTGTTTACATTGTTTTAAAATTTTGATTATAATAATTTATTAAGTTTTAAATCTTTTAAAATTCTGTATTAATTTGTTGTGGTTAGGTGATATTGTTATTAAGTAAAAAATATATTTACTAATCATCAATGGAAAGCTTACTACAATTCAGCTACATCCAGTATTTTTTTAAAAAAGGCATTTGTATTTCAATTTCACTCTTACCTAAATCTCGTAATTATCAGGTTATCGATAAATGTGCCAACAGCTCATTAAAACATCCACCTCCGTGTTAAAAATGCTAATCAGTTAATCTTCCTCATATAAAGTTTCAGAAGAGTATATTTTATTTTTGAAAGATTTTTAATAAAGAGAATTATGCTGTATTTTTTTTAAGCATTCTACTCCCAAGCAAGGCGGGAATGCCACTAGCACGCAAGGGGTTACAGATAGCAAGAGTAAAGAGGGGTGTTTGAGGAAAGGACAAGAGAAGGACAGAGATCAAGATCAAGCCATCAGAAGATGCCGATTGACATTACAGTTGAATAAAATGCCTGGATGCAGGGAAATGTGTCCCGGTTTTCCCGCATCAAAGGGTTGAGGTTAAAAAATTACGACAAAACGCGAGTAAAAAAAGCAAAATTAGAGCGGACAAATAAAGAAAAACTCCTGCTCGGTGTAACAATAAAAGAAGAAAGTGTTTATTTACATATAAAAAAAATGGTAAAGGAATAAAAACAATTGGGAGAGAAAGAAAAGGAAAAGAAAATCTCCTTTAAGGGAAGAGAAAATGTTCATAACAGAAAAAGGGCTTGCTCAAAATATTTCTCTGAGAGTAGAATTTTGTTAATGGTTGGAAACACTCACAGATTTCTTCAAAGTTCTTGCAGAGTAGAAAAAATGTTGGTAGTTATCTTGCAGTTGAGTGAGTGAGTTCGTAGGTCGACGACAGAAGTCAAGTGGGCTCGACAGAAGGAGAGATGAAGGGATGCAGCTTTCAATTGGTTTTTAGTAGTGGGCTGACGGTCTATCTCGACAGCCCTTTAGTAGGTAGTTCTTCTTTGGTTGAAAGTGGTTCCAAAGTTGACTGGTGCTCCCTATCACCGACCTTACAGACGGTGGGTCGAATTCTCACTGCGTAGATTCTCCAAATTTATGGAGATTTGAGTGGTTCAGAAGGATCGGGGACTTTTCCCTTCAAAATCCTTTGTACAATTTTCCTGGTCCCTCCATTGGTCAGAAAACATATTATCTCTGATAAGGCTTTGGGAGCCGGTTTTGCAAGTAATGAAAACAGGTTGAAGTGAACAAGCTGTGAAGTTTCCCCCAGGGTTTATGGCACCATGGAAAGAATAATGGTGGTGGAATTATATTTTATATTTTCCGGCTCTCTCGTTAGTCAGAAAATATATTCTTATCTCTGATAAAAATCAAGGCTTTGGGAGCCGGTTTTGAAGTAAAAAGAGAGGTTGGTTGGAGTGAGGATAGAAAAAATAGCTAAAATGTGAACTTGTAAAATATTGTTCTCAAATTAAATTCCAACATAGATGACTTACGCAGAAAACATAACAAATGGCATCTTAAAATTAATTCAATATGAGGTCATTTTTAAAAGTAACAATCGCCACAGCTGTATTGACAGATTTGTCAATATGGCCGGTTTTAGCGATTTAAAATAATTCCAATCAATTAAAATTCGGTTTGAAATACAGCAATGTGTTTTGCATATTGAAAATATTAAATTTAATATATTATCTTTTAATTAAAACTAAAATAAATCTTCAAGAAAGACTTTTCATTTTTAAAAAGCATTTAAATTTTATGTGTAACTTTATTTTGGAGGTACCTACAATAAAGCCATTAAGACACAAGAGGTTACTGAGAGTGAAAGAAGATGAGAAAAAGAAAAAGAAAAAGAGAGAACAATAAAAAAAGAACCGGAATTAAAAAGACAGAAAACAATAACTGACACTGCATTTAAATTTTTGAAGATGAAAGTTGACTGGAAAGCAAGAGGCCAGAAGAGAGCTCCACAATTGAAAAGTGCGATCGAATAAACTGTTAGCGTAGAGCATAATCGACGTACCAACCAGAAAAGCTCATCAGATCAATTACGATGAAAATATTTATAGAAAAAGCACAGGGAAGCTTCGTTACTGTGGTGGGAAAGTGACTGAAGCCGAGATTCCACATCAGGAGCGATTACATCACATATTCTTCTTTAGATTTTATCAAGAATCTCTAAATACGTAGCAGAAGCACAAGACTAGATGTGGCAGCAATATTAAATGCATGGACGAATGACACTTATAAATATATGTTTTCTGGCAAGAAAAATTGTCAGACATGACACAGTGAACCAACTTTCCTAGCAGCAGTCCTAGCAATTGCTTCAATGTAATATTTCCATTTTATGTCAGTGGAAAACATAAGCCCAAGAAAGTTATTCTGCTGCCATGCTGATGGAAGGTAAAAAGTTCTCTCACACGATTAAAAGAGATCAGTTTCGTTTTGGAGCCATTAAAGAATATAGGTCAGTGTTTAGATCAGCTGCCAATTTGTCTTTATCGAACTGATGAGAATTAGCAAGTAAGACAGGAGTAAATGAACGCGACTGACTCCAAATTTCTATTGTCGATTATCGCACCCGACCATAAGTTACTGCCGGCTACTCAAACGTCTAAAAGCGTCACCGCGGAAAACAGAACGAATGCTGTTAACTTCCGGTGACTCAGCGTTTTTCAGAGAACGACTCACAAAAACTCAAAACAAAAGAAACATTAACATATTAACATTAACACATTAATGAGCCTTCGTAACTAAAAATAATTACCAGAAACGACTTTATATACACATGGTGTCCGATTGAAACCCATGAGTACAGTCAAAAGGCAGAAGGTAAATTTCAGTCATCACCCCAAAGATATCGCTATCCGGCTACGATGCTGACCTCAGCCTATATAAACACAGCCGATTTCTTCCACCAAAAAGATCGAACTCGACGACTTTCGTCGAGTTTTGACAAATATTGGATCGTTTCTCGGCCTTGGGCTGAGATTCGATCACGGCTTCGACTAGCTTGGACTGGCTCCGACCTGGACCTGCTAGGACAAGCTATGACCAGCTTTGACTAAGCTCTGACCAGTTTGGACATGCTATGACCAGTTTGGGACCAGTGGCCCTTGAGTGGAAACGCTCGGGTCTCCCACGTTAAACCGACCTTGTGTCACATCCTGACGCCGTGGGAGTCAAGTAAATATCATCGAACTCGACGACTTTCGTCGAGTTTTGACAAATATTGGATCGTTTCTCGGCCTTGGGCTGAGATTCGATCACGGCTTCGACTAGCTTGGACCGGCTCCGGCCTGGACCTGCTAGGACAAGCCATGACCAGCTTTGACTAAGCTCTGACTGGCTCGGACATGGTAATACCAGTTTTGGACCAGTGGCCCTTGAGTGGAAACGCTCGGGTCTCCCAAGTTAAACCGACCTTGTGTCACATCCTGACCCCGTGGGAATCAAGTAAATATCATCTCACTCGGCGAATTTCGTCGAGTTTTGACAAATTTGGATCGTTTCTCGGCCTTTGGCTGAGATTCGATCACGGCTACGACTAGTTTGGACCGGCCCAGGCCTGGACTAGCTAGGTCAAGCTTTGACTAAACTCTGACTGGCTCGGACATGCTAATACCAGTTTGGGACCAGTGGCCCTTGAGTGGAAACGCTCGGGTCTCCTATCCTTAAAACGAACTGGTGTCACATCCTGACCCCGTGGGAATCAAGTAAATATCATCTCACTCGGCGAATTTCGTCGAGTTTTGACAAATTTGGATCGTTTCTCGGCCTTTGGCTGAGATTCGATCACGGCTACGACTAGTTTGGACCGGCCCAGGCCTGGACCAGCTAGGTCAAGTCATGACCAGCTTTGACTAAACTCTGACTGGCTCGGACATGGTAATACCAGTTTTGGACCAGTGGCCCTTGAGTGGAAACGCTCGGGTCTCCCAAGTTAAACCGACCTTGTGTCACATCCTGACCGCTAGGACAAGCCATAACGAGCTTTGACTAAGGTCTGACCAGCTTGGACATGCTATAACCAGTTTTGGACCTGTAGCCCTTGAGTGGAAACGCTCGGTTCTCCCACGTTAAACCAAGCTTTTGTCACATCCTGACTTCGTAAGAGTCGGGTAAATATCTTTCACTTGCCTCTTGATTTTGGCCTCGGGGTAGAACGGCGAGCTCCCCCCCTTACCAAACCTAGCAGCAGCAGGCCAACCCAACTTCAGTAGCAGCAGCAGCACCCGGCTACATGATATGCACTCGTCTACACTCCGCTACCTGATATGCACTAGTCCTTTTCAGGACTACACTCGGTTACACGATATGCACTTGTCGTTTTTCCGGACTACACCCGGTTACATGATTTGCGATAGTCCTTTTCAGGACTAATCTAGCCACGTTATTACGAATATCCTTTTATTAGAATTACCAAGCTGCGATCTTTCACGACTGTCATACCAAGGACGAACAGAGTACACGAGCGCCGTCTGCGTCGATTCTCTCTCTTCTCAAGCGCCGACGCGCTCTTTACATAAGGGCAGACATCTGGGGATCGACTGGACCTCGAACATCGCTGTTTCATTCAGCCTACCTCCGAGCTGTCGCCTTGAAACCTGACAACGCTCCTTCAATTGACACACTAACTTCCCGACCGAACTCCAGCAAACAATTATCTGTACATACTTTTGCCAGATTATTAAATAAAATTTGACTTAAACTTTTACATCCTCGCCTTTGTTGTCCTTGCTTCGATCGTATTACCCTATATTATTTTTCTGCTTGCGGGGTTAACAGGCACCTGCTTAACGCCGCAACACGATAACTCCAAAATGGTAAGTTTTATCAAAATTTTGTTGTTATTTTCGAGTTCAGCATGTACATTTACAAGGAAATATGACGATTTGGGAAATTTTCAATAGATATTTAGCGTGGGGCTTAAAAAGCAAAATTACCATAACATAATAATTTTGATGATAAAAACTTTATTTTTATTAAGTTTATTGCATTTTTTCAACATAGTATGCTAATTTTTAGTAAATCAGTGGCGGTACCTAGCTTAATATCACAGTGAAATGGAAATATCTCTCGAAAGAAAAAGAATAGCAACAGAACAACAAAGACTTGTGACAACAAAGACTATTTCAAGACTAGACAATCGCATAATAATCAAAGGTATCTGAGTGTCTCAGATGAAAGGGTTGAACAAATAAGACTGCAGTCTAAGAAACGAAGTATTAAAGGAACTGATTAACTGATTAATTAAATAGTTCATTTTCTTGTGAACTAAATTTGTCTAAATGCAGATAAATATTTTAGTAGTATAGATTATTAAAACGAGTAAGGGAAGTAATCCTCCATAAATTTAATAACTTTAAGCTGATTTACCTCCCTTCCTACTATAAACGGGCAGAAAATAAATAAATACACAGGAACTATATAAATAAATACACATACAAGGATCGATGGATAAATTGTCGCTATTTTATATTTTTAATTTCGCGCATGCGTATTGTTTGTTTTTGATTTTGTCGAGTGCAGAGTATAGTACGGTTAGTTGGGCACCCTCTGTGAGAAAAACAGCACCATGACACAATTCACTCTGCCAGAAATTTGGAAACGGCATGCTTAATGGAATTCGCATCAGAAGCTCCAATGTGATGTTAATCTGCGTTCAGTGCAGACTATTTGTTGGATGAGTCTAATGGGGATTACGAAGGTACGGCAGCTCGGAAAAATCACTCTGGTCATTCTGATAGTTAAGAACTCCCAAATTTGTCGGTAAGGGTGTTGGGGATGTGCAGAATTAATTAATTGTAATTGAGTGAATCAGAAGGAATTTGTGTAGGTTGCGTGACTTTCTGCATCCACAAACAAATAAATGAACGAATTTTAAATACAATCAAAAAACAAGACATATTCAATTTAGAAACCAACAAAACATTTATATACAATTAAAAATAGTATATATACAGGATATTTCTGTATATGTTACTATGGCGAAGTGTGTGTGATATTTGAGGTTTCGGTATGTCTCTTTTTGTATTTGTATGTTCAGTTACAGTCTTTCTGGAATTGTGTTAATTAACATTAAAAATGTCGATGTTAAGTGTTTTTAGGAATGAGTTCTTATAGAGTGGTCTACCTTTGACTGTAATATTTCTGAATCGTTCGAATGTTGATTTTTACTTAATAATGTAGTGAGTATAGTTCACTATGGATAAGCAAAGTTGTTTTAGGTTTGCGATCGGATGTCCACAGAGTTGGTCGAGTTTAAATTGCAAGTGAGTCAGCGTTGATGTACTTTTGCGCGGTAAAGTCGTGATTTCGAGTGACGTGGAGTATGTTGGCAATTTCTCTGTGGATGTTCGTCTCTGACCCTTTTGGTCAGTCGGTATTTTCTTTTATATGTTTTTGAAAGTCTAAAATCGGCTCAAAGAAGTTTTGGCGCAATTTTGTTTTGCACGTGATTATTGTGTCGTTAACCAATGAGATTTGTTGATTCGCCTAGTACGGTTTTTTATCGGTCGAAGTTTTCCGTACGTAGGCGTAAGGTATAGACTGTTCTGTTACTAGGGGTGATAGGTAGAAAAGGACGAGTCTACAAGGGTCTCAGACAGAGCGCCTTGGGGAGGTAGTACTGTCGTGGGTCAAGTGGGTGGCTGCCGGAAGACCCTATGACTGGCAACAGGACTCTGTACCATGCCACATAAGCAGGAAAACCCTGTCATGACATAGCTGCCATACAATTTCTACGACCACATAACTCCTTACATCTGGCCACCTAACTGCCCAGACTGCACCCCCTCCAACTTGATTATTATGTGTGGGGCGCAGTTGGCGATTTCACTGAATAAATCATATCTGTTAAAATAAGTTATCAGTGTTATTTTCCTTTTTGCATAATTTAGACGACAATTTATCCAACACACTCTGTATACATTATATGGTTTGATAATTTGCCTTCGCTGTCCTGCTTCAAACCAGATTAAACCCCATTGTAATTATTTTGAAATCTTCTTCATTTCTAAAATCAAAAAGCCGATGGAATATTTAATCTATTACTAAATGTTTTCTTACAAAATTCTCCAAAACAATGAATTCTCCAGTGAATATAATGAATGCCTGTCATGGTAGGCTATTCATATCCGATGGGTATTAACTAACAGGTCATTGAGAGTGTTTGGATGTCAATCTGAGTTCAGTGCAGAGGATTTGGAAAATGTTGGGCGAGTTTAATGGTGATTACGAAGGTACGGCAGCTCGGAAAAAATCACTCTGGTCATTCTGATATAGATAATATATATATATATATATATATATATATATATATATATATATGTGTGTGTGTGTGTGTGTGTGTGTGTGTGTGTGTGTGTGTGTGTGTGATCTCGGTTGTTTTTCTTTTCATATTGCAAGTTCGGAACCTCCAAAGTTTGGCTATAGGATTTTCTCTGGAAAAAAAAACAATAAAACCAGTTGCCCCGTCAAAGATCAGAATAGCAGTACTATCTCAGGGAAAGAGGATCAGAGAGCAAAATAAGCGGAATACTTCAAGGAAACACTCAACAGACACGTATCATCCGTTTCACTAGACATTTCACCACCTACCAAATTCCTCAACATCAACACTGTCTCCCTACCAAGAATGAAATCTCCAAAGCCATCAAGTCTCTTAAGTCAGGCAAAGCAGCGGGCCTTGACGATAAACCATCTGAAACACTGAAGGCAGACATTCAGACTTCAACTGACATGCACCCACTCCTACACAAGATCTGGTAGAAAGAAAGAATGTACGAAGAGTGGAAGAATGGTCACCTTGTGAAGCTGCCAAAGAAAGGGGGCCTGTCACCCTGCAACAACTGGAGAGGCATTATTCTGCTGTCCATGCCAGGGAAAGTACTGACAAAAATCATCTTAGCGAGACTGAAGACGGCATTAGACAAAACACTCCGAGAAGAACAGGCAGGCTTTCGGCAAGATAGGTCATGCACAGACCACATCACCACAATGCGCATCACCATCGACAGTCCCTGGAATGGAATACCCCCGTGTACTCAGTTTTCGTCGACTTTCAGAAGGCTTTTAATAGTGTCGACAGAGACGTCATGAAGGGGAATTAAACTAAAGAAAATAGGGACAGAAATAAAAAGGGACCAATGAGCTAAGTTAACTTGAAAGAAGAAACTAAGGACAAAACGGAACCTTAAACTAGCCTAAATCTTGGCGGTGTTAGCCAGTGTTTAAAGCAGAGAGAAGAAAATCCTGATGCCTAACCGGCATCAAAGTGCCACTCCAAGTCAGCCCCTTTTACTCTACACAAACGCGCAAGACTCACCCACCTTTTACCAAATTCTGTTGGAGGGAGCCGTTGCTTTTCCGTCCTAATCTTGACTTTAAGCTGATGCTTAAAGCACAAGATTAGTTGGGAAGAAGTGAACTTCTCGTCTCCATAGAATTCCTTCTGACGCGTCGTCCAAATCACGTAAGTAAAGGAACACGTAGTGTTCAGCCATCGTCAACGGTGGTACCACATTCCTACAGACAGAACAGACCTCAAGGACAAAGAACTTCCCGCGCAGCATGCAAACCATGAGGCTTACCACCAAAGTTCGTCACCATCATCCAACAACTGTATGAAGATGCCACTTGTCATGACGGGAAGCTGACGGAACCATTCTCAATGCAAACAGGCGTTCGTCAGGGATGCCTGCTGTCGCCGAAGACCTTCTTGCTCGTGGTCGACTGGATAATGCGGCAGACTACGGCAGGCAGGAAAACTTGTTTACAGTGGACCTTCATGAAGCAGCTGGATGATCTGGACTTCGCAGACGACATCGGCTTTCTCTCCCACAAACAACAAGATGCATAGTTGCAGAAGAAGCGAAGAAGACTGGCCTCCAAATCAACATCAGGAAGACGGAGGTCATGAGAGTAAATGACAACAAGACCCACCAAGAAGACATAAAGGAAGTCGATAAGTTCGTCTATCTGGGAAGCGTCGTCAGTAAAGATGGTGGGGGGATATATGAAGACATCAAGTGCCAAATCAACAAAGCCCGACACACTTTCAACACTCTGCGGTCAATCTGGAGATCAACAGCCCTCTCACTTTGCAACAAGATCCGGATCTTTTAAGTGGATGGCTGTTCAGAGGTAATAGAATCAGCACTTCCACTCCACTTTCAAACATTCTCTAAACGGCTTTCATGTCATAAAACTTTTTCATTTTGCTCTGACTGTCCTGGAGATGCTTCTTAAATAATGTGTTCGCCTCTGTAAACCTTTAACTGAATTTGGATATGTAATCTAATCTCCCTATATTTATATCATCATCTAACCATTTTCCCTTCAGTAGCTTCATCGGTCTTCGCACCGAGTCCGAATACTAATTCGAAAGGACTAAACCCTAGAGATTCCTGCACTGTCTCCCTTGCCGCGAACATAACGAATGGAATACCCAGATCCTGCTGATGGTCTAAGCAGTATGTTCTTAGCATATTTTTGAGTGTGGAGTGAAATCGCTCCAAAGCTCCTTGCGACTGGGGGTAATAAGCACTCGATCTAATCGGGGTAATTTCCAATTGTTTAGTTACTTGTTTGAATAGTCTGGACATGAA